GCAGTAGAGATTCGTTTGGAGCCAGAGTCTGCGCAGTAGAGATTCTTTTGGAGCCAGAGTCTGCGCAGTAGAGATTCTTTTGGAGCCAGAGTCAGCGCAGTAGTGATTTATTTGGAGCCCGAGCCTGAGCAGTAGAGATTCGTTTGGAGCCAGAGTCTGCACAGTAGAGATTCGTTTGGAGCCAGAGTCTGCACAGTAGAGATTCGTTTGGAGCCAGAGTCTGCACAGTAGAGATTCGTTTGGAGCCAGAGTCTGCACAGTAGAGATTCGTTTGGAGCCAGAGTCTGCACAGTAGAGATTCGTTTGGAGCCAGAGTCTGCACAGTAGAGATTCGTTTGGAGCCAGAGTCTGCGCAGCAGAGATTCGTTTGGCACCCAAGTCTGCGCAGTAGAGATTCGTTTGGAGCCCGTGTCGGTGCAGTAGAGATTTGTTTGGAGCCCGAGTCGGCGCAGTAGAGATTAGTTTGGAGCCTGCGCAGTAGAGATCCGTTTGGAGCCCGAGTCTGCGCAGTAGAGATTCATTTGGAGCCCGAGTCGGCGCAGTAGAGATTTGTTTGGAGCCCGAGTCGGCGCAGTAGAGATTTGTTTGGAGCCCGAGTCGGCGCAGTAGAGATTCGTTTGGAGCCAGAGTCTGCACAGTAGAGATTCGTTTGGAGCCAGAGTCTGCACAGTAGAGATTAGTTTGGAGGCAGAGTCTGCTAACATCAAACTTATCACAAAAACGAACAATTTAACATATAACAATTTAACAATTTAGCATGATAACTACCTTAAATGACCAAAACCATTTTTCGGAAAATTGTATTGGAAGCGTAATTAATTTTTTTATTTTGACTCAAGTCCCATTCGTTTACATGGGAGGGCGGGGTTTATGACCGGTACTGCAGCCAGCCACCAGGGGGTGATCAAAGAGCCTGCAGCTTCACTTTTCAGGATGTGTGAGGCACACCCGGGTGTGACTTGCGCTCTTTTTGGCTTGTTAAAAACTAATCTTGCTGCCGCATAGTAAAGGCTAATGGGATATATAATTTACTCACCCTCATGTAGTTTCAAATCTGTATGACCGACTGTGGAACATACTATTTTTTTAATAAAATATATAATACATTTTGAAGATATTTTGCTAATTAAACAGTTTCAGTTCCCATTGACTTCCATGATACGGACAACAAATACTATGGGAAATCAATTGGAACCAAAACTCTTTGGTTACCAAAATTCTAAATATCTTTTTTGGTGTTCAGCAAAATAAAGAAAGTTACACAGGTTTGGAACAACATGAGGGTGAGTGAATGATGACAATTTTCATTTTTGGGAGAACTGTCCCTTTAAGCTGCAGAAGTCATATCCTCACCTTCAAACTGGAGCCCAAACACAGGATGAGGTCAGCCTGCTCTGCCGCCTCAGCGGCCCCCTTCCAGTTGAGCGGCTGCTCCAGAGTGCCACGCTCACCGAAGTGAACTATAGTGTCTCTGAGCTCTGCTCTGCAGTGAGGACACAGGCGGCCCGTCCCGTGTCTGTGCAGCGCCGTGCGCTCCGTCACGTCAAACAGCCGGATAAACTCTCGTGCTGGAGAGCAGGAATCACACACCTGTAGAAGGGAAGAATAATAAACAAAACATTGGATATTATAGGAACAGATTTTAAATAATGTTTTTTCCTCAACACTGGATTTTGTGATCTTTGCGCTATCCTTTAAGACAAATGAATCAAGACACTTTCACTTCAAAATTTATGACAAATTTAAAATATGAAAAATCTCATTCCCAGACCTCGATGAACATGTTTCCATGGAGTTCAGAGAGAGCGTGTCTGGGCAACCCACTGCGCAGGTGAAGACCATCACAGTTCTGTGAGACCACATGCTGAACCTGCAGAAGATGGAAATTGTTATTCAATCTACTCGTATAGCACTTTTCACAATACATGTTGTTTCAAAGAAGCTTTACTGAAAGAAATTAATGTTCATAATATCTTAATATATTTATGCATTATAGTTGTGCTTAGCTAGACTAGATTATAGTTACATTTAGTAATGACAAACAATCAAGCAGATTTGTTATATAGTATATATATCACCCTACATCATTATATGAAGAGCTGTGTGATAATATGGTTACATTTTGTGCTGAAATAAAAAAAAAATCAGGCAGTTGCTAGGCAGATGCTATGTAGTATATATTGCTTATATATATGTTGGTAACCAAACAGTTGCTGGTAGCCATTGACTTCCATATTGGAAGTCAATGGCTACCAGCAACTGTTTGGTCACTCATACACGATTGGAACAACTTGAGGGTGAGAAAATGACAACATTTTCATTTTTGGGTGAACTATCCCTTTAACTACTCTTTTGGACAGAACACTTGAAATTAGAGATAAATGTGTGTATATATATATATATATATATAAAAACAATCAGTCAATTGAGATTTGCTATATACGGTAGTACAAACAGTTTAATGTGAGTGTGCTGTATATGTATGCGGGATTCTGATCATTCACAGAAACAGTTCACTTAAAGGGGTCATATGATGCGATTTCAATTTTTCCTTTCTCTTTGGAGTGTTACAAGCTCTTGGTGCATACTTTTTAGCAGCATCATATGACCCCTTTAAAACCTGTGTCGTCACTCACCATCTTGACTTTGTGTAGCATCCAGATGCACATGTGTGTGAGAGTGGGCTCAGCTCGACTCAAATCTGACGCACTGACGGATACAAAGACAGACAGATGTTAACATGTGGCACCAGAACACACCCAACTAGAAAAATAAATAAATAGGCAGGACTGAATCTTAAACTCTAAAGCCATATTTTAGACAGGAAGCAGTGTAATAGTGGACCCCTCACCTCACAGATCGGCCCTTCTGCAGCTGAGTCCACACGCCATTGGGCCCCCGATAGTCTGGGATAGAGGCGGCCTGACGAGAACACACAAACTCACATAATTAACACAGCACCAACACAGAGATGGACAACATATCTAACATTTACAACACATGTTGGTATTACTAAACTGAGCAGAAGTCACAAATATTTCAATGTATTTAATGCACTTCATCAGGCCACTATGTTTCCTAAAGAGTATGGCAGTGAGTGTGTTTGTAGCTTCCAGCACAGATGAGAAAGACGCACAGTACTGATTCCTGCTCCGGTGTAGATAACCACATGCTTGGCCTGCTGCAGCGCCTCCGCCATCTGCCTCACTTTAGCCTTCAGGTTCTCAGCATCATCAAACACCTGCAACCACCACAACCACATTTATATGATCACTGAAAAAGTGAAATATGCAAAAAGCAATGCATCAAACAGTACTGCATCTGCTGAGACTGTGAAATCTGCTGGGCACTTTGCTATTCCATAAAGCCACAGGATCTGAGGATTCAATCGTAAATTAAATTAATAATTGCAAGTAGTGTTGTCACGGTACCAAAATTTCAGTATTCGGTACCGATACCAGTGAAAAAAATACCGGGTCTTTTGACAACACTAATTGCAAGAACAATACAAAGTATTATTTGTTTGACAATAAATTGTCAGCATAATTGTTGGATTAAAGGACAAAGGCAACATGCTGGATGTAGTGTCTGGGAATGCATCCATACGACACCTGAAGGGAGAACAGCTTTATTAACAGACAGAAGTTCTTCAGTGAATACAGTAGGCAATTTCATTGCATGTTCAGTATCTGCATCAGGGTTTCTGCAGGTTTTATGAAGGTCTAAGGAATAAATTGAAGGGAACCCAATATGTAATCTAAATATAAATGTTTAGGAAGCACATAATGAGTTGTATTTGAGTTGTGTACGAGTGGTTGTGTCGTAGCAAAACTTCAAAGTTTTAACATTTTAATTATTTTTCCAAAAAAAAAAAAAAAAGCGTAAGACTTGAATAGCTCTGCTTCCAAGTTAACCACTAGAATATAGAAATAACTTATAAGTTCTCTGATCAAAAAGTGACGTTTCTCTGAGTATTTTTGTCATTTTCCAGTGCAAATGTCTAAAGATTGAAGATACATTTACAAACTGGCAAGAAGTCTTGTTTCCTGTCAAATTCATTAAACATTAAGCAAGTTTATGATTAAAACAAGAACAAATATATGCTAATGGACTCACTCATTTTAAAAGGAAAACAAGATTTTCATTTTCAGATATTTGCTCTTGTTTTAAGCATGAACTCACAAAATTTTATTCAGTTTCTCAGAAAACCAGACTTCATTTCTTCATTTTGCATCAGTAAATGTATCTTGATTTAAGAATGTTTGGATATTTGTACTGAGGAAGATTTTTTTGCTGTGCCATGCCATGACTTTTTGAAGTTAAAGGGGTCATATGACGTTGCTAAAAAGAACATTATTTTGTGTATTTGGTGTAATGAAATGTGTTTATGCGGTTTAAAGTTAAAAAACACATTATTTTCCACACACTGTACATTATTGTTTCTCCTCTATGCCCCGCCTTTCTGAAACGCCTCGATTTTTACAAAGCAAGAGAAAGGAACAATTGAAATCGCATCATATGACCCCTTTAAGACTGTTGTTCTGATTTAAGACCTTAACTTGTGGAAGGGTGAATTAAGAGTTTAAAGAGCTTTCCAAGGCCTGTTTCAGATCAGCGGTATATGGTGCTTGGTGTCCACCTCCTCCTGTTTCCTCTTGAGCAGGGATCTGCGGCTCTGTCTCCGGCTCAGCTCCTGCACCGTGTCCTGATGCTCCTGCAGCAGAGCCCTGTCCTCCTGCGTCCGCTCCGCCTCGGCCTTCTGGAGGAGCCTGGAGACCTGCCACAGACACACACTTCAGTCTCCAGACTCAGCTGCACACAGGAGTTTCTTTTCTTGTAACTGGCCTAAACAATGGCAACCGCAGGTAGAGTAACTGTGACTACAACAGACATAAATAACACTGGATCTCCTCCAAACACTGAGAAGCCTTCGGAATCCAACTATAATTTAATTTCGTTGATTACATGTCGAAAATGGCACAAAACCACCCGTTTTTATACTGTAACTGTACTAGCAACGGCATTCTGGCACAAACCACGGTTCCCATGAAAATCTCTGTAGGGCTTTGAACTGAGATAATTAGCTCGTCTCGCCGGCTGTAACGCTGCCGCTCTGTTTCGCGTCGTTACAGTTTCTGCTCATATGGATTCATTATAATGACGTTATTTGTTAGTGATATAATGCCTCGCATTCATACCGTCTTCACCGTCTGTCGCTGCTTCTCTCGCTGGATTATTCTCGCCTTTTCTTGCTGTTTTCTTTCGGCTCGCGCAGAGGAGCCGCTGTTTGTGTTCACGTCCATGCTGGATCTCGCCAGTGACGCTACTGCTGACGCCGCTCTCGCGGGGCAAAACGAGATTTGTATTAAACAAATGAAAAGTGGAGCCATCGGTCAAAGTGAAATGTTATTTTATTTTATTTTATTTTATTTTTTATTTCATTTCATTTCATTTTATCAGCCTGACCGAGATGGTTTAGCTGAAAAGTAGGCAAAAGTCCTCTAAAACGTTTAAAAAACATTTATATTATTATATTAAATATACAAATAAAAGCATCTGAATGTGTGTGTGAGTGAGTGAGTGTCAGTAGGTGGCGGTAATGCACTCTTCAACCATTGTTAACTGAAGGAAGAAGAAGGACGCGTTTCCGCTCTCATTACGTCCATGCTGATTTGATTCTGTTTCTCTGAATCTGAATCTATTTTATTCATTTCACCATGTCTATTAAATTAAATGCTCTTTTCAGCGACTCATATGTGGATGTAAGCCAGTATAGAGACCAACATTTTAAGGTGAGCATTATTTTTCCTTTTGATAAGGATGCATCAAACATTCTGGCACCTTTTATATTTTCCCCATTATATTATAGTTATTTTTCTCTTTCTCTTTTATTTATTTATGTATTATACAAACTTAACTGTATAGTTAATTACATTTTTGCAATTGAACAAATGTTTATGGATAATGTTCCTTGAATGTATTTATTTAAAAAACAACTTCCACATTACAGTTTACCTTTTGTGAGGCAGCCCTTGGATAATAAATATGATTTAGTATATCTGTTACTCAGATAGAATCGGTTTAATGCATACAGCTCCTTTTAAAAAGGTATGTTAGATACAGGGTTTTTGTTTTTAAAAAGAAGATTCTTGTGTTCACCGAGGCTGCATTAATTGATCAAAAATAGTAAAAAAACGTAATACTGTGAACTATTATTACATTTTAAATAACTGTTTTCTATTTTAATATATTTTATACTTGATATAATGACAGCTCTATATTCAGCAGCCATTACTTTAATCTTTAGTGTCACATGATCCTTCAGAAATCACTCTAATTTGCTGATTTGATATTTAAAAACTGTGACTCAGTGTCTTTTTATAGGACTCTTTGATGTTTTGAAATGTAAATCGTCCTTGCTGAATAAAAGTATAGGTTTAATTTAAAAAACAAAACAAAGACATAGGCTGTTGGTGTGCAAGACCTCAGACAGAGAGTTGTCCATTGGAGCGCACAGGAGAGCTGAAGCTGTCTTCTCTGCAGGGCAACCGTTACGAGCAGGAGAAGCTGCTGAAGCAGAGCTGCTCGCTGTACGTGGGAAACCTGTCCTTCTACACCACAGAGGAGCAGGTGCACGAGCTCTTCTCCAAGAGCGGAGACGTCAAGAGGATCGTCATCGGCCTCGACAAAGTCAAGAAGACCGCCTGCGGCTTCTGTTTCGTCGAGTATCCTTTCAGTTTCTGCAACAGAGGACCTGAATGCTGTGATATTGTGTTGTCTTAACATGTGAGCCCTCAATCTTCCCTCTGCCAGCCCTCTCAACTCTTTTAGGGAAGGTTTGGCTCACTTTTTTCTTCAAAAACGTAATAACTTACACATCATTTTATACACTCTCTCTCTGGCAATTCAAATCAAACTTTTAAAGGATAGTCCACCCAAAAATGAAAACTGTCATCATTTACTCACCTTCATGTCGTTCCAAACCCATCAGAAAGACAAATGAAGATACTTTTAATGAAACCTGAGTGATTTCTGTCCTTGCATTGAAATTCAGTTCCACCAAAACTGCACATTTGAGCTGCTGTGCTCTACTTTTGTGCGTTTTGAAAATGAACAAAGGTCTTAAAGGGATAGTTCACCCAAAAATGAAAATGTGATGTTTATCTGCTTACCCCCAGGGCATCCAAGATGTAGGTGACTTTGTTTCTTCAGTAGAACACAACATTTTTGGGTGAACTATCCCTTTAAATGACAAAATGTTCATTTTTTTGTGGGAACTGTCCCTTTAAGAAATGCAACTTTTGCTTGTAATTCCTCATCATTGTTGAGTAGTATAAAGTCATTTAATTTCTTATGATATTAGTCCGTTAAAATAAGTCTTTGATCACAGTCGCATTTTATTTTCGGCCAAGATTTGCTTTCACAGACAGAAGCTGTCAGTTCTTTAGCTGCTGATGTGAAGATATTACACTCGTGCTGATGCTGAGAATGCCATGAGGTTTATCAATGGCTCGAGGCTGGATGACCGGATCATCCGAACAGACTGGGACGCAGGCTTTAAAGAGGGCAGGCAGTTCGGCCGGGGCAAGTCAGGCGGGCAGGTAAGAGACCGCTATGATCACAATAATCATTACACTTATTTCATGAACTGTTTTCTTTGCTAGTAACACAAGTGTAAAAACATGCCTGTGAATCGAGGTCCAGAAGCCCGAGAGCATCTTCATGCTTCCATTCCTAAAGATTCTTTTCAGCCTTTCAATCTCAGTATTTTTTTTGTTCTATGCAATTTAAGTGTTTTGTTGCTATGCCTCTCTTTTGGACCCCACTGTACATGCAGCATTATTTTACAAGATGTGTGTGTCCTGTTTCCGTGTGATGTGACTGTGTAGCTGTTATCAGTCAGAGCCTGTTCTTTGTGTTTCCAGGTCAGAGATGAGTACAGGCAGGACTATGACCCCGCCAGAGGAGGTTATGGGAAGTTGGTGCAGAAGTCTTGAACATGCCTTTCGCCAGAATTTTTTTAAACGTTTGCTTTTCTAGGTTAACAATGAATACGGACAGGGCTGCGCAGTAACAGATCCAGTGTGTGCGATGTACATATTAGAGTTTAGTGCTTTAGGAATATTCATGCCTGAAATTCATCTAGTCTGGAATGTATAGGCTTTCTTTCTTTTTTTTTATTTTTAATAAATTGCGTTTAATATAAACTGCCTTGTAAAAGCCCCACTGTTTGTTTTTAGATGCATCTACTGCATGCATAATCCTAAATGTAAAATGTGTCGCCCAGTGAATTTAGTCCGGTTTGCTGACATTAACTGGAACTCAGAAGAGTGAACAGGGCAATAATCAGCACTGATGTAAAAAAAAAAAAAAAAAGACATTGTGTAATTAGTGCACAACTCCTTGAATCAGTTTCCGTCATTACACAATTAAACATCAACCCATTCTAGTGTTTATAAAACTATTTTATTACTTAAAAAAAAAAAAGGATTCTAAACTATTTAGACATGTCTCAAATTTTGATAACAGGGTTGCAAATACTCCATTTACACTGGCCTTCTAAGGTGGAAAATCAGCATTTTGTGAGGGTTAAGCACCTCCTTTCATAAGTGTTTGCAAACACAACGACAGACACGGCACTGCTTATTCAACATGGTTTTATGTATTTTTAAATAATGATGAAACTAGTAGTCAGAAACTCAGTCTGAGGTTATGATTCGTTGGTTCAAGTAACTAAATGACAGTATCGTCTTGAATGCTGGGTCAACTGACAACATTATAAATCTACTATCCTGACATTTTTGTGCCAAACTGCATCACAAGATAGAAAAACGCTCGTCACACAGAACAGAAAAGATGGCCATAAAGATGACGACTCGAGCACATCACAAACGCAAGAATCAAATATAGCTTGGCTTTCAGCGTTTGTATGAACCAATGACAGAACGGCAGGTTTAGCTGATATTTTTCAGATCAGTCTTCATTAAAAAGAGTAGAAATAAAAGGCAAAAACCTGCAGCTTTCACTGCAACAGCCTCACTGTGCTCATTTAACAATGACCTTTAACTGACTTCCATTAATGACAAATCTACATGCTACAAAATCATTTTAACTGCTGACGCATTCGAGGAACAACAACGGAAAGTGCTCAGAAGTGAGAGAACGGCAGAATGGCCAAATAATGCTGGCGGTTTACAGCAGGCAGCCTGATGTTGAGCATCAATCCCGCGGCTTTTTCATTAGAAACATCTGGGAACATATAAATGTTAACAAAGCAATCTGGTCCAGGACTTTAAGGGTATCGCCACAAGATTTGCTTTCAAGTTACAAGCTTGACTGTACAAGTATAATTCTGGTCTTTGACAGTACATTCATTAAAAGCCTTTATAAATGCTTCTTGTACCTCAACAATGGCGTGACATTTATAATAAGTCCTTCACGTTTCATGCTGCAAAGCAAAAACTGTGTTCTTTACGAAAAGAAACCTGATAGAAACACATAATCTGTGTTATGGCTGTGTTACAAGATGCAAAAAAATAAAATTTAAAATAAAATAAGTTAAAAAAAAATATCCACACGTGCGTGAGGTTTTGAATCTGTGGAAAACGGAAAAAGGTCTCCACAGCTGAGGATTTTCTCGCTTGTTTCTGAACAGCCACCTGGTTCTCTGAGAGGTCGTTGCAGGCTTCGTTAAATTCGAGGTTGAGGATGCTGGGAAAAGGCCTTTCTGAGCCGCCGATGTAATGCGAGGAGGTAAACGTGACCTGAAGAACTCCAGCAAACCGACAGGCTCTTATATTGGGACCTTCCAGCTTTGCCTGACCAGAACTTTGGGTTTCTTTGTCCTGCTGTGAAGTCCTTTCCCTCCTGTTGCGTTCATCATCCAGACACCAGTCTACGAGGCTTTGTCTTGGTTTAGACAGCCGGACAGTCTGCAGTCACACAGCTCTCTGTAGATCCTCTTGCGGACACAAGGCATGTCTTCTTGAGTGAAGAGCAGCGGCTTCATGAACGCCAGGCACTTGCAGTACTGCATAATGAAAGATTATATATCATGGTAGGAGTCATTTTATTATAGATATATAACTTAAGAGTAACATTAGGATCTTATTGATCTTGAACACCAACATTTGCTCAATAATTTGCTCCAAGTCCAAACATTTAAGAGATTTAATAAAGATTAAATGTTCTCGAAATCTATACCGTGCATTTAGAAAATATATAGGGTGAATTTTCATTTCATGATATTAAAAATCAGCACAAAAGTCAGCAGTGAATGAAAATGCAACCGAGTCGCCACAAGTTTCATGCCCAAAAGCGGTTTACAGAACTGTTTGTATCGTCAGACCACCCAGTTCTGCTGTACAGAAACATTCCTAACCTCCAAGACAAAAACCCCGCAGTCATTGTCGTTCTTCTGCTGTGGAATGGTCCTGTTGATGACCATCTTCCAGCCCTTCTGAAACACGGCTTGTTTCTTCTCCTTGGCTTCTGCCAGGATGTACTTCAGGATGTTCTGTGGATGAGAGTCACACACATCAGGTCTCTGAGGATTTCAGTCTGAAGCACCCTTCAAAAGCACTCACATCCACAGCGAACTTGAACAGCATGCCCTGGGAGTCGAAGATGTTGATGCTTTGCTTGGAGACGTCCAGGGTTATGAGCGACCAGTGGATCTCCAGGTGCAGAGGAATCAGGATCAGTGTCTTAGAAAACAGATCAACCTGAGCAAATCAAGACAGAAGACATTAGGCACTCTACATTATTTGGAATCCACATAAGTGCCTCAATTCTTTCAAATAACAGCAATGGGACACATTCCATATTATTTCGATAGAAAACAGTTAGACAAACTAAACGAAGAATTTTGAGTAATGTATGTTTTTTTTTGTCCATACAAAGGAAGTCAATGGGCTTAAAACTATCTTCTTCCACAGCACAAAAAATGTCATATAGGTTTGGAATAGCATGAGGGTGAGTAAATGATGACAGAAGTTGAATTTTTGGGTGGGCATTTGTTGAAAAGAACAAAAAGTTGACTTAGGAAAGACTTACAGGAGACTCATTATCATGCACAGATGAGATGCATGATAATATGTGATGTTTTTAGGGCCCTATGATTTCCGCGATGCAGAAAATGCGGAATCCAGTCATAAAAAACAGAATTTACTGTAAAACACGGAATGTCACAGAATTTGCCAAATTTTGGATGAATAAATAAAAAGATCAGTACATCTAAATCTATAAAATATATTACTTAATGTAATGATGATAACTATCACTTTTAATAAAATTATTATTAAAACATTATTAAGGAATATTTACCAGAAAAAATATTTATTTTATTATTTATTTATTTAGCAGAAAAATGTAAATACATAGTATTTCTGGAAAAAAAAAAAAAACTAATATATTTTTTTTTTAAATCAATTAATTAGAGATGCCTTTGATTATTAAAATTTATTGAAACCATTCAAATGGAATCTTGAAAATGAATGAAAAACAGAATTTGGTAAAAAAATAAAACTGAATTACAGAAAAAACAAAACATATTTCACAGGGCCTTAAATATGTAATTTTGTTAAACTTTTGACAAATTGCTGTTAAATTGTGTAAATTTCATGATTTAAATTAATTAGACATGTTTTTTGATTAATACATTATTTTAACCATTAAAACAGAGTAAAGAAAACTTAAAACAAAAAAAAAACGTAATTTGGGAAAAAATAAACCGGATTTCGTAGGGCCCTAAGTTTTGCGTGTCGTGACATTCACCTTTTTGGTCCATCGTCTCACTCCTTCATAACCTTTTGCTACAAACTGTCGGTAAAAAAAACTGTTGAAGAAATGAACCTAGAAAAAGACAAAGAAAACAATGTCTATTCATTTTCTATATGGACCTTAAACCATCAGAATTAATGTGAAAAATAAGAGCCATAACACTGATTTCCAATATATATATACATATACCGTATAAATATATATATTTTTTAAACATACAGAAAGCAAGTATTATCATTATTATTATTATTGTAGTATTATTATTATGCCTTTCTGCCAGTAATGCATAGCCTCTAGAAAACATACCAGTCTTAAATAACTACAACTATCACATATTCTTGGGTGAAATCTAGTCATTTAATAGGTTTCCACGCAAACAGGAATTTCTCATGAGGGTGAAGGATTTCCCCAAACAGATTTCACAACAGGTTCAAGTTGGTCAGGGAAATTCACTTCGTTGTCCAACAGAAAGTGTCTACTATGTGAGCTGGGCTCGTGTTGCTGCTACACTACAGACATATTAGCCCCCAAAATATTGATAATTGGACTAAACACAGCTTATGACTGACTCACACACTCTTGTGTGCTGCTGTTGTGAATCTCAGTACAGCTGTGATTCGGTCACAGACACAAGGCTGCAGGGGATCTCAGCTGTACGAGATTCAGAACAGAGCTCCAGTGGATGCCATTAATGCTTTTACCTTATGATTTGTAGCTTCCATGATCAATTCTCCATACATGTTAATCACCTGCAAAATCCGATAAACACATCCTGCGTGACTTCAGTGTACATGCATATACTGCTTAGAAATATGGATTTAAATAGGTCTACCTGATCATTGACCCAGTTTTGGTCATCAAGTGTTGAAAGGTCCTCTAAGGTCAAAGTGTGCTTGTTGTAGGTCACTTGGAAGAAATGCATAGGAGCACAGGCCAGACCAGCCCTGTACTTGGCCACTTCTGCTGTTATCAGCTTCATCCTGTAGCAGAATATACAGAATACGAAGTGAAATTAGGACACCCAACCCTAAACCTTATGCTAATTTCCACAAATTGGGCATAAACTGGTGTTCCGTTACTTTTCTAAAAACAGTGGAAGCACAAATCCCATTCTTTGAAATGTGAAAACTGTGGTTATCTAACATATCTAATGTAATCTAGCATGAGAGACAGCTAGTTTTAAACACATCAAATCACACTTTTTCTCTTACATTAATTGGAAATGTAATAAAAATGTAACGATTTGCTGCTCAAGAAACATTTCTCATTATTATCAATGTTGAAAACTGAATATTTTTGTGGAAACTTTTTTCGATATATTTTTTTCATATTCTTTGATGAATAGAAATTTCAAAAGAAAAGCTTTTTTTGTACAGTGTAAAAGTCTTTACTGTCACTTTTGATCAACTGAATGATGTGTCCTTGCTGAATGAAAGAATAATTTTTGACTTCCCGACCCTTTCACTGATTACAGAGAACTGGACTTGGACTTGATTTTGTACTGTGCTTGTGGAAAAAAATGATTCATTAGGGATTAAACTTGCCTGTCATTTAGATCAGACTGAAATGTCTTATTTAGGTGATCGAGGACGTCGGTATCACTTAATGGGGTGAAGCTTCCGTATTTCCCATAGAACTGCTCGAGGAATTCTGGGAGATAAAAAGCACGTTCAGTAACTAAAACATGACACCAGAAATCAACAGAAGCTGTGGAGATCATCCGAACACTACCATGAATCCACTCGATGATGCCCTCAGTTGTAAACTCGAGAGGAGGCGATGCAGACGGCTGGCCCGTCTCCTCCCTGGAGTGGTTCTGGTTTTCCCCAGCGAGGGGCTTGCAGTAGTGATGGTCCCAGGAGGCCTTGTTTACATTAGTGCTCAAGCTGGACGGCTCGGCTTCCATGGCATCAGTGTGAGTGCAAACGTCCGGCTCTGAATCGGCGGGTTTCTTTGTTAAGTCATTCAGCTCTGTGTTGTCACAGGGATGTGTACAGTTGGCATGAATGCTGTTCTCCAAGCCGTTCACCAGGACGGTGCTTTCACTCCCACCCTCAGTCCTCCCTTTAGGAGACGGTGCCTCCTCCATCTCAGAAGCTGCGTCCGCTTCCAAAGTTACCACCGAGTCCACTGCCGCCGAGCTCACCACCTCCTCCGCTGCCACTTCTTCTTCTTGGCTCAGCATCTCTTTCTTCTTGCGGCCGCGTTTCTTCAGCGCGTGGGGCCTGCCGTTGGGCCCGCAGCAGTCACACGTCTTCGGCACCCGTTTCCTCCTGGAGCGTCCATTCTCAGGCATCTCACCCGAGCCTGACTCTGCCCTAACGGAGCTGTTTGCTGCCGGGACCCTCATCGAGAACGCTACCCCATTCCTCCCGGGGTCCTCTCCACCCGTTCTGTGTTTAGGACTCCTCCATCGACACGCAGACGCTGGAATTCCCGGCAGTGTGGATGTACTCTTCTAATCTGCACGCTGAAAAAAAGATTGAATCAAATAACAAAGAATAAAACAATGTTGTTGATTTGATATTAAATTCATGAGAAGTCAGTACTTTGCAGAAATAACATAAAAAGTATTGTGTGGGTAACAGGTATTGGTTAGGGTCTCGTTAAAAACACTACACAAAATTGTGTACTATATATAGACCCACATATGCGCCATCATTTTCAAACAATTTCAAGCACACAAGTACTTTGTAAGCAAATTTTGCAAACCAAATGTGCCTAACTCTTTTAAACACTGAATATGCTTTTAAAATTGTCTTGTTTTTTTTTTATTAGTTATTTTGTATGCCTATCCTGTCTATTTGTCATTATTATAGTGAATTAATTCTGCAAGGCGTCTTTTTACATTGAGTTCTGGAGAGAAAAAACTCAGAAAGTTAGTTTTATTATTATTTTTTATTGTTAAAAGCATTTGGCACATGGTACTTTTAAACAGTCTATACCACCTTCATATAACATTATCAATATAGTATCACCACGGTAAACCACAAAACACGGTTCAGTGATGCTATCATGTGGTAATATATACTCTGTTATACACCCTGATATATATATATAATGAATGATTTTTATAATCGTGTGGTATGTATATGATGATCTAAGGTTCTGTGATCTAGTGTTACTGTGGTACTGGTGTGAATCTCTTGTTTAGGCAGTAAAATCAGCGGATCGTAGACTGATTTTCTTATTTATTAGAGGAAAATCTGACTGTAATATTCTGATCGAAAATCAAACTGAATGAAAACATGAACGCATACAAGTCTAACGCCATCAGGAAGCTATAAGCAAAAATGACCTATAGTGAGATAATCAGTCAGTCAGATCTGAATAACGTTAGATCATTTATTTAGCAATCAAACAAAACACAAAGCCCAGCCTTTCAAACACTCGCGCGCATCTGTGACTCACAGCCTCACCGTGTGTCGCTCTCAGGGACGACGTGTGCGGGATCTTAAAGGCAGTGCGAATAAATTCCGATCAATATTGCGCTATCAATGAAATCAATAACAGTGAGCGTTATCAGGCGTTGTTATGGTCGCAGACCGAGCGCGGCGCGCGCCGATGACGTCACTAGCCGAAGCGTTTTGGCGGCATCTAGCGGGAGGGAGATAGCGAGCGCTTTTTAATGTCAATAATCACAATATTTAAATATTATGCTTGGATATTTTGAGTCTTGCGGCTGCCCTTCTTCAATTCATTCACGGTGCTCTGTTTGCTTACGGGAAACCTTCACGGTTCAATTGTTAAAATTATGAACAAACGTTCTTCCAGTAATTTTAATTCAATACTCATTAAAAGTTACCTGTTTTTTTAACAATCAAATTGTTATTTATGCATCGTTTATTAAGTATTTCTATGATGTTTTAGTTGGACGTTTGTTCAATGTTTTTTATTTTTGTATTTTTTAACGTTACTATTGGTTTCAGAGCGCTCAGAGAACATTCAAAATAACATTCCCGTCATGTTTGCAAAATAATAAAACGAATGAATGCTTTCTGTGATGTTCACATAACTATAAGAGGGGGGAAAAAACTTTTTAAATAATAATAATAATAGTAATAATAAAAACTGGACATTTTGTATGTTCACACAACTTTCAGAAATAGGCGAATGTTTTCATAATTTAATGATTGGTGCACCTGAGTCTAAATCTACTCTAAATGGGCCTATAATCTGTCTAAGAATATTCCTGTTGATGTTCAGTTTACATTCTCCTGATATAGACACATATATACATAAACCATAAAAGTGTGGAGCTTCATTTAGCTTAGTTTATTAGTAATGACAACAAACCATAGATAATACATCAAATTCAATATTTACAAAACGGTATGCTATATTGTACAAAGATATCTTTCAAAAGCATTGAATGAAAACATTTGCCCAGTTAAAGCAGCATATCCCAGCACATTGTTGTCTGTATGCTGTGAGTGTATTTGTAAAGACAGACAGCTAAAGCGAGACACATGTTAACACGCTTTGCAGCAAATCAATCTGATCTAGCCTGATATAACTGATACAGTATAAGGCACTGACATCTCTCACGATCTGTCCTACACTCGTTCTGCTTGAGATTAATGAATTACATTCACAATAAATAAAATCAGACATGCTGTTGTTTAGAAATAACCCTGTTCAAATGGTGTAATCTGAGATTAATTAGAGATGCAGTGTTGAATTTAATATATTACATTACTTGTTCAATGAAAAATATTTATATTAGGCATTATTCATGAAACACGAGCGGAACGAATTTCTGTGTAAACTGTTTGTAAAATGAACGTAGCTAGTTATGAGTTTGATTCTCAAGGAAAACACATGATCAAAATATATCTGATGAATGCACTTCTGGAAAAACAGTGTCTCCTAAATTAATAAAGAGCAATGTAAAATAACTCCAATTTACCCAAGAATGGTTTCACAAGCTTTTCAGACATTCATACAGCTTGTGTTTCATGACTGAGATTTATTAAACTTCTGTATGAAAAACAAATGTTAATAAAATGATGTGGCGCATAACTATATGCAACTCCATACTAAATACATCAGTGCTACTCATTTTTACATCACAAAAGCATAAGTTGTTTATTCATCATTCCTGTATTACGATCTAATCAGTGGTCACGCTGGTCTGGTGCGAGTGCTCTCGTCCCATTACTCCGACTCCAACACAGCAGACACGGTCTCTCTGATGATGAAGAGTGCTTTACATTTAGTCCTTTAACAGACACACCTGTCCAACTGAGGAGCAACACAAGCACTTCATCATATACGAGTAGCTTGATTCCTCACTTCTTTCCTCCAGCTGTAAAGAAGTATAATATTATTAGCCATTGCTACAGTGAGCTGCTGCAGAGCACAGACAGTGTTTCAGTGGATATCGACTGGAATTTAGCTGTTTCTCAATCAAAGCTCAAAAATGACTGAAAGAATGGCTGCTTGTTTCCACCACATGAGAAAAAAGACATTTTATAAAGATTATATGAATGGAAATAATGGCATATTTATGAGATAAACTCCAAATTATGACACCAAGTCAAAATGATGAGGTAAAAGTCTAAATTATGACAGTCGAAATCATGGGGTAAAAGTCGAAATTAACATAAAAAGTCATAATTATCACTTAAAACATGAAATTACATGATAAAGTTACAACTGAAATGAAAGTCCTAATTATGACATAAAAAGTCAAAATTCTGAGCTAAAAAGCCTTAGTTGACTTTCATAATTTTGACTTTCTGCAGTGTGAGACATGAAGGTAGAGCTGCAGTTTCACCAGTAGAAGACGACTGACTTACCAATAATTGACCTAACATCCCATAATGTGTACTTTTTATGTCATAATTAAAAAATATTTATGACATTATTATGACTTTTTAAACTCATAATTTTGGCTTTTTATCATAATTTCTACTTTATTTTTATAATTCTGATTTTACTTTTGATATTTGACTTTTATTTTTTTCTTACGTGGCAGAAAATGACTTCCATATGAAAGTCCTGGACACTCTTTGCCTTCATTGTACAGAGAAGAGCAGCGTGAACATTCTTCAAAACATTTTATATTGTGTTCCACAGAAGAAAGAAAACTGTACTGTCGAGTTTCTTATGCTGCATCTTTTGTTACACACACCTTGTTCTCTGAATGTCATATATATATATATATATATATATATATCTGGATATATCTGGATCAATGACAAACAAGTATGTCAAAAAATAGAAAAAATCTATTTTAAACAGAGGCCTTGGTATGTAATCTTCATATTCATGTCATTATTATTTTTTTTTATTATCCCATTTTAAAAAGTTATCATAACATATTTCCCTTAGGGTATTCAGGGTTGTTGTTTTTGTTTACTATTATGACTTTTTTCAAAATATGAATCATGAATTTGTGAGCATTATGCACATTTCACAATCCTGAAGTCAATCATTTAATAACCCTAATATTATTTATTATTAAATGAAATGTTTTATGGTTTTTAGAAATAAAATAGAAATGCTAATAGATTATGTCAAGCTCAGGATTAATTAAAAAAAATGTAATCAAGATTTTTTTGCTCATTGAATTCTGAGGATGGTTACAGCAACTTATATATTATGAACTTATAAACGTATATATAATATAACTTATACATTAATAAACCAGATACTGGAAAACATGTTCATCATACAAAATATGTTTATGCTACTGTATTGTTTCTATGAAACAGTGTTATTTTAGTATAATTGAAATACTAGTTGTTGTTAAAGGGGTCATATGATGCGATTTCAATTGTTCCTTTCTCTTTGGAGTGTTACAAGCTCTTGGTGCATAAAGAAGATCAGTAAAGTTGCAAAGACTAAAGTCTCAAATCAAAAGAGATATTCTTTATAAAAGCTAAGAGTCAGCCACGTCTACCTAAAACAGCTCGTTCTAACACGCCCCCACATGTCTACGTCACAACATAATGTTCTTTTTAGCAGCATCATATGACCCCTTTAATATTTTAAATTAGATATTTTCTGTTTACTATAATTTTTATTTATTATTTAAAATGTTTTATTCAGTTTAAGTGTTACTTCAACTTAAACTAAAGTGAGAAATGTTGCCTTAGTGACCAGCTGAAATAAAATAAGCTTTTTCATGTTTATTTTATTTCCATTAATGTAAATATTTTTTTATGGTTTTAGTTTTAGTTAATGATAACATCCCTGGTATAATAACCCTAAAGCATGTTGTGATGTACGTTTCTATCTCCAGTGCAGTGTCTGTGGTGTTTGTACCTCAGAGGCATGTGCGGTTCACGTGAGGAGTGTGGAGGGTCTTAGACACCGAGGGTCCGTGCCCTGCTCCAGACAGGACCTGCAGCTGCACTCTGTACTCGCTCTGGGGCTGCAGCGCCTCTACAGTCAGAGAGCGCTGATCCTGAGGCACAGGTTCACATTGAGTGTGTTTAGAGTGCTGCTGTGTTGTGTGATTGGTCAGTCAGGCGTGTGTGTGACTCACGGGGGGCAGGAGGTGTGTTTGGGAGACGAGCGAGCCGTTGGTGCTGCTGCGGGACACTTTGAGCCAGGAGAGCTGGAATCCAGTGATGGGGGTCTGTCCCGAGCTCTCTGGAGACACCTGCCAGCTGAGCACGGCCTGCACCGAGCCGTTCACTAGCTGAAGCCACGCTGACAGCTTCTCCGGCCGCTGCAGGCCATTCTTACTCTGAGGAGGGCGCTCTAGCACAACATATTGCACTGGGATGAACCATAAAATACAGAAATTCTCTCATAACATTTGCAAAAATCTCAAACTGTCTGGCTCACATTTCACTACCAGCTCAAATAAAAAAATATTTTACATGAAAAACTAAGCCTATTTTGAGGATCACTTTTAGGATAAAAGATTTTTTCAGAGTGTCATTACTGTAATTGTATATTATTATATAATGCCATTTAATATAATAATGTTGTTATTGTTGTACTTCTTTTAGATTCAAATGAATCACTATAAAAATAATCAGAATTACAAATCATGTGATGTTGAATGTTGAAATGATGACATTAAAAAGTCCTAATTATGACATAAAAAGTCAATGTAATGTCAAAATTAGGACTTTTTATTAAATGATTTGGACTTTTTATGTCATAATCAGGACTTTTTAATCTCAATTTGGATATATAAGCTTGTAAAGCTTTTATAACTACTTTTTACCTCATAATTTTGACTTTTTATGTCATAAGACTTAGTATCCCATAATTTTGACTTTATGCTTCATAATTTAAACTCATGTCAAAATTATTATGGCTTTTAACTCATAATTTTGACATTTTATGTCATAGATATGACTTTTAATCTCACAATTTTTTATCTTTTTATCCTATAAAAATAATCAGAATTACAAATCATGAGATGTTGAATGTTGAAATGATGACATTAAAAAGTCCTAATTATGACATAAAAAGTCAATGTAATGTCAAAATTAGGACTTTTCATTAAATGATTTGGACTTTTTATGTCATAATCAGGACTTTTTAATCTCAATTTGGATATATAAGCTTGTAAAGCTTTTATAACTACTTTTTACCTCATAATTTTGACTTT